TTATATATTAGGTGTAATATGTTACCTTGGTTACGATTATTGCTATATCGAAGGGAAGTGTGAAGGTTTCGTGCTATTAGCGTATTAAAAACTTTAAAACAAATTAAATGTCATCTATCGACACTTTGAACATTAAATAATTAATAAAATGTTTTAAAAAATGCTGAAACTTATTCGTATAACATTTTAGGGGAAAGTTATTGTAAGACAACAATTGTACACAATATCGAGTTGCTGTGAATTTATTAACGTGTTAAATGTTTGTATAATTTCATTATTTAAGTATTGAATATATAGAAATAATATATTCGTAATTAACTTCTGATTAATAAATATAATTTGATCCAGATGGCTAAAAATACAATTATTAAACTTTACTTTCAAAAATGCATTAAATATTTAGTATTAAGTATGCATTAAATAATGTACATTTATTATATCAGACGGGCTTATAAATATGAGTTGCTTCAAATATTATCAAAAATAATTATTTGGATACTATGGAAAAACATATAACAAGCTGTAACTATCAAATATCGAATATGATTTATGTACTACGCGTATGATCACAAGTACCTCACTAATTAAGCTACTTTTGTGTTAAAAATATTTAATATTTATTAGTTGTCACGCCTACTGAATTACTGGATAAATAACTTAAAATATGTATAATGTTTTTTACCATCACTTATGTCACACTAGTATATATTATACTTGAAAGTTGTAAGACTAATAAGCAGTAGCTATGCATATTTTATTTCATTAATATGTATATGTATTTTACTCCGATATTAAATAAAAATGTTTACTTATTATAGAACGATGAGTTATACTTATATAATTTCCTTTATAAATTGTATTGCTTTTTTTAAATTTTGTTTTTTCAAATATTGTATGAGGTATGGGACATTTTTAGTTAAAATTCTATTACAACTTAATTCGTTTTTTATTCGCAGCATTGAGCCTATAGTTACTAGTTAATTTAATTTATCAGCCTCAAAAGTCAATAGCTTTTCTATTTAATTATTTTATTATAAAATTATAATAAACAATGATCATTTTCTCCCTTTTAATATAATGCTGATACAACACTATAACAATGACGGAGGAAGAGGAAAACATATCCGACGAGTGACAAGGAACGGATACGTGTTTAATAGACTGAGACGACAGCTGGCAAGTGGCAGGTGCCAGGTACGTGTTATATTTATTTTCCCTTTCCATAAGACTGTGGTGACAGCCTCGAGTGGTAGAAGGTTATTCCTCTACCCAGTTACTGTTACCTTGTCGATTATAGTATTACTTACTGGTTAGTTTATTTAAAATCTTTTATTCTTTTTTTATTACAAATCAAATACTTTGAAGGTGTGCATTTTACTGAGTTATGGCATAACCATAAATAGAAAGTAGAATAAAAAATTAATATTAAAATCAAATTTCTCTATCAATTATTACATTAAAAAATAAATACCAATTATCATATCAAATGTTGAGACATGAATCCAGTATTTTGCATTCAATATTCTTTGTTGGACATGTTATAAAAATACACATTGTCACCCAACATACATTTACACTTATATTTAAAATTAAACTGTTTAGTATTCTTCATAGATAAGCGAGGATAAGTATACCAAGAAGATGATTACATCAAAAACTCACTAACAAAACTGTATCTATAGTGCAAATATATAGATATACTTTTTTAAAAATTTATTTTTGAGCAAACTTTAGCATCAGCATTTTTGCCAAATGCGTCACTTTATACTTATACCATCGTTCGTCATTCGTCGTAATTATTTTAATTAACTTTACCAATAATAAAATAAAATAATTAAATAATATTTTACGTAAAACATTAATAGATATTTAAAAAAAGATTGATGTATGTGCTAAATGTCGCTGTAAAATGTGTGAATAATATAAAAGAAGGTTACCGTTGGTCTCTAAAACATCGGTCACCATATAGCGGCCGGGGAATATATTTTATCTGGCCCGTAAACAAGAAAAAAAATTAAAAATCGATAATAACATTGGTTTTTTACCGGTAGAAACAGAATTATACTGATTGCCAACATTTTATATGACTCATGTCCACAGACAGGGACGGAATGACTCAACAATTCTTACCGGAAAAATAGATATTTTCAGGCCACATAAATTTATTTCAGGCCATTTTTTTTCAAATTTAATTTCTTACCATTTATTGTCTTATTGATAGATGTGTGCTAGCCATTTTTTGATTAGGTAAAGCATAAAACATTTTATTTATCCTACATATTGGTAGAAGATATTATCAATTTATTATCATACACATTTTATATTTTTCCTAGCTTCTATTTTAAAGTAGGTAGTATCAACCATAAAAATGTTTATTCATTATAATATCAAGTATTTGAACCAAAAAACTCCCTCTAAGTAATCTTATAACTGAACACAGGTATTATTTTATATTTATACAAATATATCACTACTATAGAAATTTATTTTTTATAATTGTATATTATAAAAACAATTAAGCTTCTTGTTTTAAGAAATTTATTAAATAATACTTTACAATAACAATTTGCTTAGTAAATTACTTTTACTGCCCAGCTCATTAGTAATGACATTGTTATCCAATTCTATGAGTAGTGATTTTTCAATTGAAGTTAACATAAATTTAGTTCCGTAGTCTATTTTTTATGTACTTCAATGTGGAAAAAAATCTCTCACAGGACACTTGAGTAACTGGTAGCGTTGACAGATATTTATAAGCTGTATGCATTAAAAAATAAGTTGTACTTAACTAGTAATCTGTAACAACAAATAGCACAATTTATACAAGTAGAGTTGCAAGGTTTTAATTGATTTTCTAAGTCTTCCTCTTCTTCATCATTCATATCATTTGATAAAATATGGACATGATATTCATCTTCTAGAGAGTTTTTCAAATACTTCCACGATTTGCTGAAATTCAATAGTTCACCTGAGAGTTAATTTCTTATTTCTTTAAGATTATCTCCATCATCACATTTTAAAAATGGTTTTAATTTTTTAGCCAATGTTAAAAACGCATTTTCAGGCACATCATTAAGAGGAAAATTGTTTGAAGATAAAAGTGATAGGTCAAAATATAAAGAATTATTATTTACAAATCTAGTAGTCATTCTATTTATTTTCGTATCTAATACTATATTATATACTTCAGTTATAAATTTTTTTTCAGGTGTAGCATTGGTAGCAATAAGATCTTCTTTCATAATTAAATATTTTCTTTTTCTTAGATATTCTTTTAATTTGAAATTCTGTCTGAATTTCGTCAACAGTTAAATTAAAACAATCAGCCATAGTTGCAATTTCATTATTAATATTAATTATATACTTATCACTAATGTTTGAAAATTTCATGAAATTTAAAAAAAGGAAATATTTCATGAAATATTTCAATGAAATATTTCAGTATTTTAATAAATTTTGTTTTTTTTTTAAATAAGTTTTATTTTTATGTATGTAATTGTCATAATTTACTTTTATAATTTTATACTACTGAAACCAATCACTAATAACCATTACCTACTCATTAGTGATGGTTTTTTTTGGTATTATACATTCAAAATAGTATTCAACATTTTTAAATTGATAAATAAACGTACTATGTCGATAAATGTTCGTACACTAATAATTATTATAAAAATTAAAAGATTATATGATAAATATTAAATGTCTATAGGTACACTATTGTCGTCAGACGTCTATTCACCATAATAATAATAATTTTATGATAATAAACCATGCGTATTTTTCTAGTTAGAAACTATATATAAGTTATAAGTTTATAACGTTAAGATTATGATTGCGATAATAAATTATTGACTGTCAACTGTGTAATAAATATTATACTTATATAATATATTTAGTCACAATTCACAATAATAGAACCATCCTTGCATCGTCGTCGACGATAAGCCACTTCTGGGGAAAAAACCAATTTTTGCTATAAACAGCCGAAAACAAGACCCTAATATAGTATAAATAGTATATGTCAGCCACGGCACTCATTGCATTAATATTGCTAATATCAATGATTATACCAAGAACTCATGGATTGTACTATTAATAATTGATAAAAAACAATCATTATAATTTGTTTTCAAAAAAAAAAAAAAAAATGTTTCACGTTTTTGTGAAATATTTCAACATGTAGTGAAATATTTCATACTTCAAACACTACTTATCACTAACTCTTTTTATATCTTCCATATTACGTTGGATATTTTTAAGACTTTCTAAAGCACTTGTTACCATTTGTTTTGTAAATATTTTAATAATGGTCCTGTGATTTGAAATATTTTCATATACATATGAGCTATTAAAATAGTTTCATATTTTAGGAAAAATGAAATAAAATTACTGGCTTTTAATCTTATATCTGGGTTTAAATTTGGTTTTTGTTCAATTTTTTTTAAAGCAATTATACGATTAGTCAATATTCCATTGTCATTAGTACTATTATATGAACCAAATATTATTTTTAATGCTGTATGTTTGGCTGTCCATCTTGTTTCACCTATTGATTGTAATCGTTTTTGATTATTATACTTATCTTTTTTCACTAATTTCTTTCCATATGTTCATTCGTTGGTATGATTCTTTTAAAAAAAACAGCACAAGACTGGATTAAAGAAAAAAAATTAGCTACTGCAATTGGACTTTTGATTGCATCGCTAATTACAAGGTTGAGTACATGACTATAGCACCAAATATGTACTTTTTCAGGTGCTGCTACACTTAGCCAAGATGTAAATCCATTATATGCCCCTCCCATATTAGCGGCACCATCTGTGGAATTTCCAATACAATGCCTTATATTCAAACCAACCATTTCCAATGCATTTTGTAAAAGGTTCATCATACCTTTACCAGTAGAATCAGTACATGATTTTACAGATATCAATCTTTCATTAATCATTCCATCAGTTACAAATCGTAAGACAATAGAGCATTGATCCATTACTGATACATCCTATGTTGTGTCTAATAATACTAAAAACATGTTTGCTTCATTTACTTTTTTTGTTATTGTTGATTTAATTAAATTAGAAATTATGATTATTATGTTATCCATAATATAATGACTAAGAAATGTAACCAAATTTCCACGGCCTTTTGAATCATTATCATGATTTTTTTGACTTTTCTTTATGACCTTATTTAAATGTTCGTTTAATACAACATCATACTTGCTTAGCGAAACAATAAGTTCAAGAAAATTTCCATGATCCAAAAATTCATTATTAAGAAGGTAAGCAGCTTCATTACTTTTCCCTCTAATGCTAATCTCGCGTTTTCCAATCAACTTTATTACTTTTATTATTTGGTCAAGTACTTGATGACATTTTTTCACTTCTCTTTGTAAACGTTTTTGGTTGACAAATAATAAATTCCCAATATCATTTTTATAGATATGGATAAAGTAAGCTTCTGAACAACAATCATGATTTTTACTACTTTCATGTTCTTTAATATGTTGATGAACGTATCTCCAATCATTAATACCAATAGTGAATGTACTATTTTCAGTAGCAAATGCTAAACAAATTAAGCAGTAAAGTTTACCTTCATTTAAGTCATAAGTACACCAAGTTCTTAATGCATCATTTTTTTAAAAAAAACTTTCTTATAATCAAATGGAAAAAATTTTGCTTGGTCTATAGGCTGAATCGGATGAACATTAAAGAAATAATCTAAATGATTAGGCAACGGTCTTTTAAATTTTTCAAATCCTTGTTTTTCAAAATCAATACTAGCTTCAACGTGGTCATCAATAACAGATATTGTTGAATTCGGTTGTTTTTTATTCAAGCCTAAATAAATAATATAGAATATAGCATATTACTATAATATTAGTCTATTCGTGTTTATTTAAGTATAATAAATTATGTATATTAGTATATTATACTATAACTAGTTCATGAATTATATGAATACAAATTAATAAATACATTAATATAAAATCTAAAAAAATTAAAAACTACAAATTATAATTATTCAAAGTAAATAACTATAAATTATTACTTGAATAAATACCTTGTTTTTGATTATCAACAATTAAAATGGCAGCATTATTAGTATTAAATGTACCTGGATCTACATCATTAATTTTTTGTTCGATGCTAAAAGTTTCTTGTTTTTCATTCACAGGTTCACCAACTTCTTAAATAAGAAAAGTAATACCATCAGCTTATTTGCATGAGCATATACACATTGACAATAATTAAAAAATTAAAAATTAAAAAAAATATTAAAAATTTAAATTAAAAGTAATAACATACTACCAGGTAGGGCGTCATTTAAATACAATTTTATTTATATATTTTATTTTAATGATTATTTCACGATTATTCTAATATTTGTTAATTATAATTATTCAAATGAAAAATTACTTGACCAATATTAAACATAGTTACTCGATTAATTGTCAGTAATTTTATCGTAGTGATATAATTGGTATTTTAGTAATTAAAACATTTACATATTAACAAATAATAATTGACAAGGCATTATATTTTAAGTTCAAGGTTGTATATCTTCTTTTATTTAGAATAAATATAAAAATATTATAAATGAAACAAATATAAAACTAAAGAAGAAACTAGAAAGTAAAGAATTCAAATTTAATCTCATAGGCTTTTATTGATATTTTAATTTTTAAGTGAGTTGTGAGCATTTTAAAGTTTTAATATTTTACATAACAATAACTCACTTCAAAATTGAGATATCAATAAAAGCCTCTGAGATGCCCTAGATAATATTATTACCTTTAAATTTGATAATAGGTAAATTGACTCTAATATTAAAGCTAACAGCATAAAATTGAATCTACTAAACGCAAATTTGTAATGTCTTACGTTCGTAAGAAAGAGACAACACGTCATGCGGATATGACGTCCTCTTAAAATTTAGGATTATCGTTATTATTATTTAGCATTATGTTCGAAAATTATTCAAATACATTTTAATTCAAATAATTATAAAAAATAATCATTCAAATAATTTGAAAATATGTTAATTCGAATATTTTTTATTCAAATTTATACTTATTCGAATAATTATCTAGATAATATTATTTTGCCCAACTCTGCATACTACAATACGTCAATACCTACCTTTGAAATATGAATTAATTTTTTCACACTTTTGCCCAGTCACAGACAAAAGCTTTTTATTTTTCTCTTGTTCCCTCTCATGTCCTCCTTTTCGTTTGTTCTTGTTTTTGGAATTTTTATGCATATTGAAAATAAAAAACAAATCGAAAATTGCACATTAACTTATTGAAACTTTACAGTTTTGTTTGGATTTATTCCGTATTGATCGTATTATCGCAGATTATACAAACTACAAATATAATCTGTGGTATTTGGTATTATTAAATAAAAATGCAAGCCAGTGATGTTATTTACAACCATAGTCATAATCACTTTGTTGTTTTGTGTCAATTACAATATTATATACCCGTTTGAATAACTATTTATTGATTGTGTGTTATACTTGTCTATTACTATAATAAGACGACCGATAATAAGAAAACGAGTTATCGCAACATCAAGTATTTACTATTTATAAATGGGTGGTTCACATATCACATTATAAATTTGTTTTCGTTGTTTTTACAGTCATCAAAAATAGCTAAATATTTTAAATATTAATTATTTTCATCATATCAGGACCAAGCCACTTCTTATATAAGCAAGCCAGGCCACCGGGCATTGTTCCGGTTGCCCGGCGGGCCACTCCGCCCCTGTCCACAGGTATATCATTTGTTTTGTATATCTGTGCTTATATCTCAAAATAAGAATTAATTTAATTTTAAAAATATTAAAGTCACTTTAAATGGGTGAATTTTGAAGAAATTTGCTTTTGTTTTATTTTTCATTGGGAATCAATACGCCACGGGGAGCAGATGAAATAATAGCATAGGATGACATTGTTACATTTCCAAAGTTACACATACTAAACATTGATTAAAGAATGTTATATACCTACACTTAGGCGCAATTTGGGAGGGGGGCGCTTGGATGTGCTTACCACACCCATTTTTGAAATTAGCACCCCCAAATGTGTTCATGTTAATTTACATTTAAATACTTATTATTCATTAATTTTCAAAAAAATGCACGTCATGCAGCACAAACTTTTGCTCATAGTTTCCCAAGTATGCTTATTAATTTTTTTATGTTGCTTTAGATAATTTTTTAAGTTAGTTTCGTTGTTTTTGGTACTTTAAATAGAGAACATCCTGTCCATAGTTTTATTCATAACTTAGAAAGGAATCTTAGAATATAATCTTAACTGCTGCAAAAAATACAGAATTCATGCGGCGCGCTAAATCAGTAATGTACCTGTGAAACATTTTTGGGGGGGGAGGACATAAATTAACTGTATAATTTTTTATGGTTATAATATAATCTGAAACTTTATTATAAATTATTACTAAATACTTAAAATTCATGTTGATCACTTGATATCAATGATAACCACATTATAAAATAGTGACTATATGTAACCATCACTCCTAATCCCAATTCAGTTGAATATTGATATTTTATATTACATTGACAAGTGATATCAAACAAGATTACAATCAGTGAAAATTAAAAGTATTTATAATTTACATTAATTAAGCTGAACAATTAATTTGCATTGTGGCATCAAAAAATTTCTCGGAGGGGGAGGAAAATGCCCCTGTTGCCTCCCCCACAGGTACGCCACTGCACTGAATCATGTTTAATACACGGAGGACAACAATTTGAACAACTTATATGTTAAATTAATAAATAAACTTGTAACTTGAATAAAAATTAAACTTATTGTTAATTGTTGATAAATTCCAATAGATCCATTAAATGTCACGAAATAAACAACATGCCTGCTTATTTAGGTTTTTTCCTACTATAAGTTATAATACATACCCAAATTAAAGTGAAAATTATGCAGTAGCTAAAATTATAATAACGTGTAAATATCTCTTTGATAAATAAGAGTAAAAATATCAAGCCTTAAGAATTCTAGAATAATTATTTTCAGAGTTACAATCAAAAAAATTTAAGATCGCGCGCATTTTACAGTTTTTTTGATTAAATTGCTGTAACTTGGTCAATTTTGGCCTTAGAAAGTTGGTTTAACTACCAAAATTTATTAAAAAAAAATAGACGAAAAATAATTAGTGGTTAAAATAGGTGGTTGCCATTTAAGGAAAAAAATTGTATTGCGTGCGCGCGTGTCTATTTAAGTTAAAAAAAATTAAAAACTCTTAAAAATACACATTTTTATGTCATAAAAACCAACAAAAAATCAAAATTCAAATTTCAGGTCTCCACGCAAAGATATTGAGTGTTCTCAGTTAGTGTTTACACACTATATAAAAAGTATATTATTCAATATGTGTTTGTTTTATCCCGGTTTCGCCTTATAAATTTATGGCAACCCTAATTTAGATAGATACACTGTTTATTACTAGTTAAGATATACCTACCTAAATCTTAATTTGTACTCTTATCAAGATTTTTGTCAAAAAACCATAGTTATAGAAATTTAGACTTACCCAAGAGTAACACATACATACACATGTGTGTGGTCATAAAATTAGAAAGTGTTCAGAAAAACTTTTTATATGCCTTTGTCAGGATTCTATTAATTTTGCTCGTCATCAAAAACAGGCCATCTCTTATCTAATATATTTTCTGATTATTATTATTCATATTTGTATGTATGGAATTACCATTTATTTTACTTCGTACATTTAAAACTAATTATTATATAACGAATAGTCATGTAATTTATTTACCTGTCTTCGTCAGTTTAAAAGTCACAAAAACATCACAACTGACTCAATAACTTATAAAATAATTTTTCCATTATTTGGTTGTACTTTTTCAAATTAATCTTTTTTTGTAAATAATTTATTTTGTTTATAATACCTATTATTTTCATAATTTGGTAATATTTTGCTACACTAATAATTAATGATATGATATAATGTATAATCATTAGGGATGTGTAGTTCATGAGTGAGTCGACTCCAAGAGTCAACTCTTTTTAGTGAATTGAATGAATTGAATAAGTACATCGCAAATCAGCAACTCGGCAATTCAGTACCAACATAGCAAATCACTAAGTAAGTGACTTGGCAATTCAGTACCAATACTGTATTGAAACAACTGAACTATAAGTCTATAAATGAGTTGAATCAGCCAGGTCACCAATTCCAAATCTGAAATTATCTTCTTATCAATAAATCAGCAAAAGTTGGTCCACATAAATGTTGTGGTTGGTCAACGAAAACGAAGTAGATAACACGATGTAAACAAAGAACCTGGTTTGCCGCTAAAAACGACGTTTTACCGCGCAAAATTATCTGGCGGTCTTTGTACGCGTGTTTTTGCGCGCGCGCGCCCCCTAGCAAGGGCCCCGCGACCCGCTACAAACGTCCAACCGTCCGGTGGCGACAAGTGTGTAAACCGCTTTGCCCCGCCACTCTATCACTATATAGTTACTTGACGACGAACACTTCCTTCACAGTCGTTCGTTAAATGCACGTCTTACGTCGTTGACATTGTTGATTATTTTTCCTGAGATTCTCTACGAAAACGTTTAACGCTCGTCTGACATCGACGACATTGTAGATTATTTTTTCTGAGATTCTCTACGAAAACGGCACGCAATGAATTCAACGATCAACAAGGAAAACGTATTGGAGAACTCGTCGCATCAAGTGCAGGTATAATTTAATGTTTATTTTAATAATGTCGATCCGACCGGGTTGCATATCATCTTTCGGGTCTGTTCTACGGCGTCACCGTCAAGTTTGCTATGCGTCCGGTGGTGAATAATTTTATCGATTGCTAAACGTTTTACGAGCTCGATCGTCTAGATAAGTTGGTACGTGGCGGTGAACTCCTAGTTTGGCTAAAGAAACGTGTTCGGCAGTCCTATTGTAATATCACGGCAGGATGGACCGTAGAAAAATCATACAAAATGGATTCACATAACTAAATTATAGTTGAACATGACTTCTTGTCTATCATGGTCTGCATGCGTTAATTATGTAGTTCTTCCCATTCCATCAAAATACTTATTATGTGTGATCTGTGAAATGAAAATATGCTATGTTGGTTTGTCTCGTTTGACACCAAAAATGTGTAAATTTGCAATCCAAATACCTCCATAACCATTCTTTTGTCTTCTAATTAGTTTTCTTAAATTTACTCTATTGACATATATAAATAGATTGATTGTAATAAGTTTATAATACTTATTTAAACGTCAAATTCATATAATATTCATAATATATATATAACATTATATAGTAAAAGAATGAACAATATACACTTGTAGTTTACCTTGAAATAATTTCTTAGTTTATGCCTGTATGTTTTTGTCATTTTCTGTATATAAAATGTGTGTGAATTAATTCTGATTTGTTTACAGAATGATGTTCTTAAAACTAAAACTGTTAAGCCGTCACATGTATTATACGAGGTACACTCCAACATACTTTCACCAATTAGATCTCTAGATAACGATCAGGTAATTTTAAATTTATTTGTGTTTGTCATATTTTATACAGTTAATTATTTATTTTACAGAAAAATTCAAATTATTTAGATATAATGAATACATACAGAACAAATTTTGATGGTACAATTGAACCAATTTTAAAAGAAAATCCTAAACGTTTTGTCATATTTCCTATTATATACCATGATATATGGGCTATGTATAAAAAACAGGAAGCCTCATTTTGGAATGTAGAAGAAGTTAATTTAAAAAATGTAAATTTTAATATTATAGTTAATATTAAATTATTTTACTAAACATTTTTAAATTCTAGGATCTTGATGATTGGGTCAAATTAACTGATGAAGAGCGACACTTTATATCCCATGTATTGGCATTTTTTGCTGCTTCAGATGGCATAGTTAATGAAAATCTTGTTGAACGATTTTCTCAGGAAGTTCAAATAACAGAAGCTAGATGTTTTTATGGATTTCAAATAATGATGGAGAATATACATTCAGAAATGTATAGCTTATTAATTGATACATACATTCAAGACCCCAAAGAAAAGTAAGTTTTTGAAACCCAGCAAAATAATAAGTTTTATTTTTAATACTTTTACATTTTATTGAATAGAGACTTTTTATTCAACGCTATTGAAACCATGCCTTGTGTAAAAAAGAAGGCGGACTGGGCACTTAAATGGATAGGTGATACCAATGCTACTTTTGGTGAACGATTAGTTGCATTTGCTGCTGTTGAAGGTATATTCTTCTCTGGAAGTTTTGCTGCAGTATTTTGGCTTAAAAAAAGAGGATTAATGCCAGGTTTAACTTTCAGTAATGAGTTAATTTCTAGAGATGAGGTATATTTTTTATTTTTATTTACATAATTTTATTAATATATTGTTGAATTCTCAATAATTAATAATTATATAAATAATTCTTAGGGCTTACATACAGATTTTGCTTGCCTCTTATTTAAGCACTTGGTGCAGAAGCCTCCTCAAGAAATTATAATTCATATTATATGTGAAGCCGTTACTATTGAACAAGATTTTTTGACAAATGCTTTGCCTGTTAAAATGATAGGTATGAATTGTGAAAAGATGGCCACATATATTGAATTTGTTGCTGATAGATTGTTAATTGAATTGGGTTGTGCTAAAGTAAGTACTTGATAATAATTGATATTAAACATATTTTTAATTATACTATTTATAGATTTACAAATCATTAAACCCATTTCCGTTCATGGATCTTATATCTCAACAAGGAAAAACAAACTTTTTTGAAAAAAGAGTTGGTGATTACCAAAAAGCTTCTGTGGCCATTACTGAAACTCCTAATTTATCAACAATGGACATAACTGATGAAGATTTCTAAACTATTTTGAATTATTACTACACTTTTTAAGTGATTCAATTAAAAAAATTTCAGAATTTGTTCCCGCAGAGTATTTAATAACTGAACGTAAAAACAGCATATGCACTGTATTTTATTATTATTTTTTTTTTTTTTTTTTTGTGAATAGACTCTGATGAATAAATTATTTATTATTAGTGGTAAAATATGTTGTAATGTTAAATTTTTTATAATTCTAAACGTAATTTTGTGTTTTATAAAAAAAATACACTGAGGAAAGTATCATTATTCAAAATATACATACCATATTGTTAATACTTCTATTTATAGTTTAATTTTGACCTATAATTAATTAATAAAAATATTACTTATTTATGATAAAAGTTCACTTTTGCTTGACCTCTAATTTTTTCCGTTTAGTTAGAGCTATTCTCAATAATAATATTGTGTTCATTTTATTTAGAACTTAATATTTCCAGTTAGTATTCAAAACTCATACTGAATGTTTGAAATTTCTAAACCATTATATAAAAAATGTTTTATAACCTTATTTCTACTGGAACATATATTCGTGTGGTTAATTTCTAACAAAGGTTAATGAATTATTTTAACTAAAATTAGTCCAAATTTAGTTTACTTGGCTGGAAATAAATTTATATATTTTAATGGGGACTACATTATTTAATATACAATACTTAAGAAGATGTCACTCCCGCATGTGTTGTTTCCGTCTGATATATGTACAGTATAGCAAATTTGCGTTTAGCGATTCAAATGTAGTGATGTTAGCTTTAATAATAGTGTAAACTGACCAATAATCAAACTTTAAGGGAAGAACATTATCTGCGTTTTGTTGGTCAGTTTTTTCCTATATTTTAATTTTTTAAGTGAGTTATAAGTATGTTAAATATAACAATGAAAAAAACATAACTCACTAAAAAATTAAAATATAGAAAAAAAACCAACCAACAAAACACGGATAATGTTTTTCCTTTAAAGTTTAATTATAGGTCAGTTTACACTATTATTAAAGCTAACACCACTACATTTGAATCGGTGAACACAAATTTGCTATATTGTACATATGTCAGATGGAGACAACACATGCTGGTGTGACTTCCTCTTAATACATGGCTAAACCTTTTTAAGACTGAATCTTCCAATCAAGTAAACTAAATTCGGTCCAATTTTAATTAAAATAATTCATATAATAAATAAATATAAATAACCAATTTTATTAAATTTGGATTAAATATTTATGTATACATTTTACACATTAGACATTTATTTAGATTGCACCTTATATCACACATTTTATAGTATTTATCTTTAAGTTTTTTTCACTTAGCGTTTTTTACACGGAGTTGACGTAGGTAGTGTTTTTGTTTATAAATTATATTTCAAGACTAAATAATTTTACTAGTAAGTAACAACTCTTTATATCTTATTAAATGTATAAATTATTATTTATTTATTAAGAAATATCTTAATATACTTATACATTAAGTAACTATAATATATAGTTACCTGGTATTTAAAAATAAAGTTTTATTTAGCTAATAGTTTATTTAATTGATGTTAAACAAAGATGGGACTTGAGCAAATTAAATATGTATGAAGGTATAACATTACTAGCATTAAAATGAAGCTTTTCATTTTTATTAAGCTTATTAAATTTATTTACATATACCAATTACATCTGTAACTGATCAAAACCGTTAAATAAGTGATAATCAATCATCATGAAAAATACTGCATTATACTATATTTTTATAGGATTTTAATATTCATTTAGTATAAAAAAAAGAGGACAATTATCCAAATTAGTTGTTTAATATGTTTTTTGTAGTGACAATGTGAGCGAAGCGATCGTTTTTGTTATGTAAGGGTATTTAAAAAACAGGTGGATGGGTGGTTTGTAAAAATCTTCGCTCCTTACGCAAAAGTAGTTCAACACCAATGATACACATAATAATAAAGTAATAATATTGGTTCATGATTTGTCAAACAAATAAATTATGATAATATTGAAATGTTGGCGCAAATAATCATAACAGCGTGTTTATATGTGTTGTATTATCACCTAACACCTAATTTAATTTAATTATTATTATAAGCAGTGGCGTAGTTACGGGGAGGGTGTAAGGGGTTTCCACCCCCCCC